TATATATATATATATATATGTGTGTGTATATATATATATATATATATATATATATATATATATATAGTCCATTTCATAACATAAATTTGAACATAAATTCAAAATTTCTCGATCCGATATCTGATAATAAAAATTGCCCTCAAAGTCATTACGCATTTGCTATAGGGAATATGTGCACATGTTGATCTTATGAGATTTGAAGATGGGATTGCTATCGTCTCCCTAGAGTCATCTTGTGTGATGCATTTCAACCGAGTTGATGAGGGAACAACTAGTGATAAAGATCATGATAATGCTCAAAGTATGAATATGAAGATTCCGGTTTATCTGACCCCGGGTTCTTTGGTTCTAATGTATGGAGAAGCACGCTATGTGTGGAAGCATGAGATAAATCGGAAGCCAGGATTTCAGAAGTGGAAAGGGCAGGAATTACAACAGAAGAGGAGAATCTCCATTACCCTGAGGAAGCTCGCCCAGGTTGACTAGCACTTTTCACCACCATATTTGGACCTTACACACACAACTACACTATTTATCATGCTGAAAACTTGTAGAGGTTGATTTTTTTTTTATTTTTTTATTTATTTTATTTTGGGATGACTTTCAACCTAAAAATTTTGATGAATTGTAAAGGTGGAAGTTGCTTAATCGTTTTGTCATCCTATTGCATCATTTTCCGGCTTATGCTTGGTGTTAAAAGAAAGATTTCTCTCTCTCTCTCTCTCTTTAATTATTTAACTAAGCTAAAGTTTTAGAACCACACTTTTCTTAGCAGTTGGAACCAAGTACAAAAGTGCAAGGTTGGTTTGTTAGTTAGCATGCAATTCAATAAGTAAAAGGGAGAATTTGGGCAATGGGAAAATAACACAATTCAAAGATACAGGACTCAATCTATGAAACATTACCTTAAATATCACAAGCGTAACGGCAGGCAAACAAGAAATCCCAATCCACAAAATAACATTTTTTTGTTAATTATACAACTATAGTACTATACTTATATAAGAGAAATTCAAAGACACACAAGCGTGAGATTAACAAGCACCAAAAAAGCAGCCCAAGCCAAACAAGGCTTAATAACTTCACTGGCAATCGGGTTGACCTCCTTAAACGCCTGGTAACACCCAATAAGAGCCCCCAACATCCCCATACATATTACCAACCCGGCCACACTCAACCCGGCCCCAAACACAATCGGATCCCAGACCAGCCCCAAAACGAGCTGGGCCAAGTACAGATAAAGGGCCGTGGGACTGTTATGGAAGCCCCCCTCAGTCCATATCAGCCAAGCCGAAAGGCCCATCAAGAAAGCAGAGGCCGTGGAAGTAAAGTGCAGGGCCCAAAGAGGAGGGAACCAAAACGGTGGCTTCGACACCGTCGTATTTTTATAGCTGTCGCTGGAGCCAAAGTACACGGCCAAGAGCGTGAGAGCCACCGATACGGAAACCGCAACGGCCAACGACCTTAGACCGCGTTTGGCCAGCGCGGCTCTGGCCCTGCCGCGTTTACTGCTTCTCTTGGAGGTTTTAATCTTATCATCCCCGGCGGTGGTTTCCTCGACGGCGGCGGAATTAGCGGATTCGGCGGCCGTTCGCTGCTTCAGATTTTGGGAATCCATATTAGAGAGAGAGAGAGAGAGAGAGAGAGAGAGAGATTATGGAAGGAGTTTTAGGCCAAGGGGTTTATTTATATTCTCTGTTTGGCGAGCGAGAAACTGAGAGACGCGTGGACAGAGGAAATGGAAACTAGTGGAATGGGATGGAAAAAGAACGTCGTTACGCGTGGCGGTTCTGGTGTATTCGTGGGGACACGTGGCAGTAAATATGCGAATGCTTTTCGTACAAGGAACTGGGCGACGAGCACTTGGATAACTGTTATAGAGGATGATCGGCGTTCGCTTATCTTAAGAACTAGAAGCGTCGTAAATGTGTCCGTCGATGGTTCGTGAAAAAGAGGCACTAGAGGGTGAAGTGACGAAAATACCCCTGACAAGAACTTTTGGGAAGGCCCAATCTTTGCGTTTTGGGCCAATGGAGGTTCGCAGTTAGGCCCAAGTTTTGTCTTATAAGTCATCACATTTGATCGGAGGTCGTTTTCTTCGTCTTTCCTGGTTTAAGGACGATTCGATTCAGCCATGGCGGCAAAATCGGCGACGCAACGGCGGAGATCGGAAGGCGTGGCGGCGAAACTTCTCAGGAATAAAAAATTCGTCTTCGCCGGCGCTTTGCTTTTCGCCGATGCGGTGCTCGTCGCCCTTATTATCGCTTACGTCCCTTGTAAGATCAGCTTCCCTCCCTCGATCCCACGCATTAATGTCGGTTTGTCATCGCGATTACATTGAATTTTTGCCTTTTCTTTTCAGATACAAAGATAGATTGGGACGCTTACATGTCTCAGGTGGATCACTTACCCAAGCTCGATTCTTTAGAAATTCGCCTTTTTCTTTTGTATGGTTTTTGGTTTTGATGAGCGTTGAACCTCAGGTCAGTGGGTTTCTGGGCGGGGAAAGAGATTATGGGAACTTGAAAGGTGACACAGGGCCATTGGTCTATCCAGCTGGGTTTCTGTATGTTTATTCTGCAATCCGTTATGTTACTGGTGGAGAAGTTTATCCAGCTCAGGTACTTGATTCGTTCCCTTTTTTCGCGGATAAATTTGCTTTCTTTTGTGGTTCAAATAGGTATTTTTGTTGGTATTTACTGTAGCGAGAGAGGTATTTGAGTGGATTTTCGTGAAGAACATGATAAATGGGAAGAATTTTGTGACATATATCATATTACCGATATACAATACTTTTCTTCCCCATTAAATTGCGTTACTTATGAAATACAAGCCATTTTAGACGTTATGTTGTGTTATTGTGGAATGTGATGAAGTAAATCCCTTTTTTTTATGGATTTTTCATGTCGTTTTTTTGGGGGGTTTTTTTTTAAATGTCTTTTTATATCTACTTATTGGCTCTTGATTTCTGTTGGTTGCAGATTTTGTTCGGCATTTTGTACATCCTAAATCTAGGAATCATCTTAGTGATCTACGTGAAGACCGATGTGGTATGAAAACAGGCTCGCAGTTAATTTCAGTATTTACATTGTATTTCCTAGTCAGTCTGTCAGGATTTACATTTATAACCTTGTGGATTTCTGATAACGGGGTTTTGAAACATGCACATCTTAAAAAAATTAGACGCTTTCCGTGCTTTTTATATCTGTCTGTACTGTTTATTTATCTACTTCTTCTACGGTTCTAACCTGATACTCACTTGGGCTATTCTTAAAATTTCATGCAGCTTCCTTGGTGGGCTCTTAGCCTGCTTTGTCTATCAAAACGAGTGCACTCTATTTTTGTTCTCCGCCTTTTTAATGACTGTATTGCTATGATGCTCCTTCATGCTTCACTGGCTTCGATTCTTTACCAGAAGTGGCATCTTGGGTTGATCATTTTCAGGTATATTGGCTTTCTCAATGCATTTGAATTAAGGTAGATAATGTTGGTTAAAGACTTAAAAGTTTTCCTGTTTTGGTTTGTATAGTGGGGCTGTTTCAATAAAGATGAATGTGCTTCTTTATGCTCCTCCTCTATTACTCCTCATGTTAAAGGTACATTCTGTTTGACTATAGTTTTTTTATGAAAAAATTGCTCAAACAACTTTTATTTTTTCAATTTTATGTTTTTTATTTAGTTTTTTCAATGTCTTTTACAGGCTATGGATATTATTGGAGTAATCTCTGCTTTAGCTTGTGCTGCTCTGGTGCAGGTGCTTTCCTCGACCTTTTCTGTTATCAAGATACTAATGTTTTATGAATTTTCGGATTTGTGGGCTCTAAAACTCATGCTATTATGATTTACAGAGTACACGAGTCTTTAAATGCAGAAATTGGGTGTATGAGTTTTTTAATATTGTTTCAACATGATTAGGTGAGTTGGACATCAGGAGCATTCCCCGATTGTGGTTTTTTTTTTCGTTTACCCACGTTCGTGAATGATTCTGCAGATACTTTTGGGGCTGCCTTTTATCATATCTCATCCATTTTCGTACATATCAAGAGCCTTCAATCTCGGGCGTGTCTTCATCCATTTTTGGTACATTAAATGACTACGTAAAGAGATCTTTCAGGATATTTTCCCTCCCTATACAATGATTAGAATAGATTATACAATGATTTCAGTATATTTGCAGGAGAGGGAACGGGTGTATAATACATGTGCTGAAGACACACACACACACACTCACACACACCCACACACATATTTTATTGTGTAATTTTTCGTGCATTTTTCCTGCGGATAACTAACATGCAATCCATTTCTTCAGGTCAGTTAATTTTAAGTTTGTTCCAGAGCCAATCTTTGTGTCGAAGTCATTTGCAGTCTATTTGCTGATTGCTCACCTCTTATTGCTCATAGCTTTTGCTCATTATAGATGGTGCAAGTGAGTTCAAAAACTTATTTTCTTCTTTTCAGAGCAAAGAACAAAAGTCCTTGCAATGTGGACATAAAGTGTATGGAAATCCTAGTACTTAATTCTTTTAGTACTCTATCTACTAAATAACTTATAAGTATGGGAAGTATTCTTTTAGTACTCTATCTACTAAATAACTTCTAAGTATGGGCAACTTATATAAAGTATATATACTAAATGATGGTTTTGGACATTTATCAACAGTCTTTTCACTGAATGTGTGTGTGTGTGATTATCACTTGTAGGCATGAAGGAGGGATTCTGAATTTTTTGCATTCTATAATTGCCTCGACAAAGTTAAGATTTGCTCTTGCAAGTTCAACCTCTTCGAAGAATTCCTCTAGTAGTCACAAAGCCTTGAAGATTCTCAAGGCAGAACGTAAGTTTTGGCATCTCTCTTTATAAACGCCGGTAGTATATCCATCCTCTTGTTCCCCGCATCACACTCCTTTTCATCTGTTTCCTCCTTTTTTATTTGAATTCTGAAGTCTGGTTTGGTAATGTTAGATATCGTCACAACAATGTTTGTTGGGAACTTCATTGGCATTATATGCGCTCGATCACTGCATTATCAATTCTACTCATGGTAAGTTCCAGCAGACCAAATCTGTAGCAGGAAAGTTTAAAAGTCAGCTTATCGACTCGTGAGGAGTTAATTATTGTATATCTGGTGACTACAGGTACTTCTACAGCTTACCATATCTCCTGTGGAGGACGAGCTTTCCTACGTTGTTACGGTATGTTGTTTCAATTGTGCGCATCATTCATTAGTTATATTTCAAGTAGAGTTGCCAGTTAACGATTTCCTCGGAAACAATGGGTATGTTTGTTTCACAACTCAAGTTAAGAATTTGAGTTGTGTATGTGAGAGAAAAACATTGTAACAAAAAAGTTGAATTTGAATTTTTATAAGAAAAAATACTGTAGCGGTAGAATTTGAGTTGGGAAAAAAACAAAGCCAATATTTACTGATTGATTTTGTGCATACTCTGCAGTTTGATTTTGTTTATAGGAGTGGAGTTCTGTTGGAACGTGTATCCGTCAAATGTGTACTTATCGGCCCTCCTGCTCTGTCTCCATTCAGTAATACTGTTTGGTCTGTGGACTGCCCCATCTGAGTATCCTTATGTGAGCCAAAAAGAACCGACTACAAACAAGGAGGAATGAAATACATTCATGTTTTCTGTTGTTCCCTTCTTCCCCCTTTTTTTTTTCTCTCTTTTTTTTTTTTTTTGGAAGTGTATTTAATCATATAGATTTAGACTACAAAGAGGACAAATTTTTTTCCCCTATGAATTGAATATGTAACAGAAGAGAACAACTAACTTATTTTCTTTCCTTGTTTGTTTTCATTTTCCGATGTTTGCTATGTATGTTTGGATTATGAATCTTAACTTCAAGAAGAAAACCAGCTACTACTGATACATGAAAAGTTTGTTCTAAACCAAAAAGATAGATTATCTTTTCTTTTCTTGTTTTAAATAGAATTCCCACCATCTCCTATCTTATTTCACTTGATCTAGTGGTTTAAAGATATTTTAGAGGATGTTTGGTAGAGGGATTTGTTCCATTCGAATCATGATTCATGGTTCGTTACAGTATTTTCTCTCATAAAAAATTCACGTAAATAAAAAATGGTTCAAATCACATTATTTGAATTCTCTAACCAAACGTCCTCTATTTCTCACAAATTGAGGTTAGTAGAATCGTTCCAAGTAGATGGATTATTTTAACTAAAAGAAATGCCAGATTTTTTTTTTTTTTAAATGCCGGATTTTTGTTTAGTAAAATCTCGGGCCTAACATTTCAAAAGTTAAATAAAATTGGCGCTCCGCATGGCATATAGGCACTTTAGCTTTCCAAAATGACTAAAATGTCCACGTTCCGTATTTTTCTTTTGCACCTGTCAATTTTCTCTCCAAATGAAAGGTGCATCAGCAATTTAGCGCATCCATGGTGGTGAAAGTGTAATTTCAATCTGGAAAATTAATTAAGCAAAGAAAGGAAAATTTGTGTGTTCTGTTATTTCCATTCAGTCTCACTAGTTCTCTTCTCGCCCCTAAGCATTTTGGTGTCGTAGCTATCGTGAGAACGAAATTCAAAAACGATCAGATCAGATCATCTTGCAATTCTACGAAATGGTAAATGTTGATCGCTCTATATTCATATCTATTTCATCCGTATCTGAATCTATCTTTTTATTTTTCTTTTCGAATCCTCTTATGTATTTGTTTTGTGGCTGAAATCCTTTTGCACTGAACGGAAGATCCAATTTCCTGTTCGTTTTGGCCCCTAGGTTTCAAGATTCAAATTCCAGCTTAATATGAAATGCGTTTCCTAGATTAGAATTCAAATCCGCTAGGGTTTTTACTGGTTTTGAACTTTAAGCTCTCGGAACCATAATGCAATGTGTTCCTGAAAGTTTTGGTGATTTCTACAACTGATGCGCATTTTCTTTTGTTTTTTCCCCCTAATTATTCATGCGATCAATCTGTCTTCGAAGTTGTTCTCGTTAATTAACCAAGATATAGCAAATCCCTACTTTTTTAATCTGGTGGTTTTTTGGTTAAATCTATCTATTCAAGACCGATTTAGCAGAATTTTCAGTTGGATTAATTGGTTTGTGATGGCAGACGCTGCTCTTATTTCTTATTGTTGCTTGCAGTTTGTATTAGAGTATTAAAACTGATATTTTTTGCGCACCTTTTTTTTTTTTTGGGTCCGTTAATCTTGTCAGGACGGACACAACGGAGAAGATTCAAAGCAGAGCACCGCGGACATGTCTGCTTTTGTGAGTATCTTTATTAGTTACTGTTCTGAAGTCTGTTCTGGTCAAGATCTACCCCATTGTGAGTTAGTCAAAATAACAAAACAAATCTGTTGATAATATAGATTAGGAAGCTTTTTTCATGTGTCCTTTAAATATCAAGAAGTCAATAAGTTAATAATAATGGTCAGGCCTGCTTGCTCCCACAAGGTCTAGGGTTCGAACCATTGCATGGGCACCTATATGAGAAAACTCATAGGTTCCTGCCTTCCAAAGATTGTAGGGTTTGGTAGAAGGCTCCGGTTTCAAACTTGGGCTCACAAAGTGAGTTTGAGGTTTCTAGATACCAAAAAAATAAGTCCATAATAATTTTCAAGCTAATAATCACCAAAGTAACATTGGTGTAGGTGGTCCAAGGATGTCGGAATTGTTAGTTTGATAAAATTGTTGATGTGGTTTCCTTTCTAAAGCTTGGTCATGTCTGAGTTGCACTTTTTTTTTTTTTGGTTTTGCAGGTGCAAGATCTTCTTCAGCAAATGGTGAGTTATGTAATTATTCAGAGTTTATGTTCGGCAATTAACTTGAGTGATACTCACCGGTATTCTTTTTGCAGCAATCCAGGTTCCAAGCAATGTCTGACTCTATTGTGACAAAGAATATCCTTTCCTTGCTACAATTTGCATATAAATCCAGGATTGTTTCTTAACAAAAGAAAGGACCAATATTTACCAACTATTTTTTTTAATCATTATCCGTTCTTGCAATATTTTCTCTAGCAGAAAACGTTGCATATTGTTCTGAGTTCTGACACAAGCTAGTTTGAAACTTTATTTATGCTATGTTGTTATTGTTATAGGAAATGATACAAATCATGGAAAAACAGTTTCATGACGTATCTTGAAACTTAAAATATAAGTTAGGGGTTACAGAGCCGTGAGAAGGATTTCACTGAATTTTGACATGTTTGCGTATATGATAAAATTTTTCATGATGTGCGTCATTGCTTGTATGCTATGTTCTTGTTAGAAATCTTGTTACTCCTTTTTAGCGGTACCGATTATAAGATGGTTTTATTATATTTCCTTGACTTGCAATGCACTCGATGATATGGGAACCCGCATAAATGAGTTGGAGCAGAGCATCAATGAACTAAAAACAGAGATGGGCATGGAGGGTACTCCATCTCCTATGGCCCCATCCAAGCCAAATGTTGATGACGTGAAGCAGGAGGAGGGTTCTGCTTAGACTCGGCTCAAAGTTCACATTTTGCATTTCGTGTCAGCTTTTCTTTGTCCACCATATTGTGGTTGAGGAATGAAGTCGGGTGTTAGTGTGACGTTTTGAGTGCTTATGTCAATACTGCAGCTAGTTTGTATCTCTTATTTTTTATGTTCCATCACTCTATTAGCATACTTTAAGTAACTATTCAGTTACTCTGATGACGAAATTTTCCAGATGTAAGCTTTGTATGGAGTTCTCTCAATGACATGGGCATTGGCATTGATTAGTTTACTCTTTTGTTTTTTTGACATTTTGGAATTTGTTGTTCGGGTCAGTTTTTTGTGGAAGTATATATTTTGAGTCCTTGTCCTGCTTCTCAGAAATCTGAAACAAAGTCCTTACAAACTTAATGCGTGCCCCACGGTTACTGGTTTGGGGTATTCTTGTGGACACTCAACCTTGATCACTGAAGTCTCTTCCCAACTGTGACTATGGTTGAGTCCATCAGGATTTTTGCCTCTTGTACTTGAAGTAAGATAAACACCTAATAGAGAAAAAAAAAAAAAAAACCCCCGGAAATATTCTAGTAGTTTCTTTGTATTAAAAAAAAAAAAGAAATCTATTTTTGATTTTGGCTAAGAAACTCTAGTCAGAACTTTTGAGGAAAATCAAATAAGGTTTTGTGTCTATTTGGTAAACTATGAAGGCAGCAACTTTCAATATCTTCTGGATGTGCCTATCACCATATGCAAATTCTAAAATAGCATTCTAGAGTTCTTAAAATCTATATTCTAATAAAGTAAAAGCAAAATCATAGATATACTCAGAAGAAGAACGAATAAAGGAAAAGAAGGAACAACATCTGACAACATCAATTCAGGCTCACCCTCCTCTTCCTCTTTAATTTTCTTAAATGAAAAGATAAATCCTATAAAATGCCAATATACAACATTTGGGAAAAAAATAAAAAATAAAAACAAGGTGAATCTATCAAAATATGAGGTCTCAAAATTTAATTGAAAAGACAACTAATGAAATAAGAAAATGAGATAACAGATCTTAACTCTATAGAACGATGATACGATAGAAAAAATAAATAGTGGTAGAGGTAAATTGAAATCTTATTACAAACTGTTATCTTACATATATGAGAGAAAACATGAAACAAGCACAAACATGAAAAGAAGGAAAAGGAGAGCAAAGAAACAGATTTAAGAAACACTAATTTTTAGCTTCAACTACGGCAACGAGTGATACTTGAACATTCACGGTTGTAGGGGTTAGCCTCAGCACCTTGCTTGCAGTTGTAGTAGGAAGCACCCCTTCTAGAGCAAGGCACAGTGTTCCTCTGCAGTGAGCCATAGCTTATGTACTGTGAGGTCGCCAAGATACGCCGCTTGCTCTCCAACTCCATGTCGAAATCGTTCTGCGCCATGCACTCGGCTATGGAGCCACGGCAGCCGCCGCCACTGCTCATTGTGCGCAGCCAGCTCAGCCGGTGGTCGACGCTCCCCTCCACGGCGGAGAAGGCGACTGTCAGAGCTGTGGTGTACAATAACATGGCTAGCAAAGTGGATGAGAAGTTGGCCATTTTTTTTAGTTTTGTATGTTGTCAAGTATTATTGTTGCAGTTTGTAAGGTGCACATGAGTATGTGACATACTTGGGACAAAGTGAGAGGGTTGGCAACCTGTTTTTTAAAGTAGTTGAGTTTGCAGAAAACGACATTGCTTTTGTGTATATTTACGAAAACCCCCACTGGACTTGAGTCTTTGGGTTATTTTCCTCCATACCTAATATTAACTTTTAAAGGTCTAATTATCCTAATCTTTTTGAAATATATACTTTTTTCCTCTTTATAAGTAAATTGCCTATTTTCAAATGAAATCTAACATGAGAATGAAACAGGAGTATTATTATTATTTTTTTTTGAGAATAATAATACACGAGTATTTAAAGAGACATAAAATTGGAAAAAAAAAATCAGATATTTCAAATCTCTCTCTCTCTCTCCTTCTCTCTCTCTCTCTCTCTCTCTCTCTCTCTCTATATATATATATATATAATATTTTATACTTATTCTCAAAACTAATTGCCTTTTACCATTTTATTTCTCTTAAAGCCCTCATGTATCATTCTCTTGCTAGATAACGTTTAAGAATAAATAGTTTATTATCAGATTGGTCAAAATTGTATATTCTAAAAATACTAAATGTCAATGATCAAAGTGACACAAGTAAATATTCTCAGAGCCTTCAGTGAAAATAACCTTCACTTTTTTATGGGCAGTTTAGTGCTTGACCAATGTATGTTTCTAGAGGATCTTTTAAAGACATGACATCAAGCACAAATAGCATTTCAAAACCATCAAAATTCTTTGAATTGTTGTTTTCTTTTGTTTGTTTTTTAGTACATAGGAAACTGTTAAATTGGTACTCATGAGCATGACAAAGGTAAAATACCGGGCATTTAAAGTCATTGGAATAGGGTAAGGTTGTGGGGTCGGTCCTAAGGAAATTTCATGGAATTTGTTAAGGGACAGTCTAGACAGTAGAGATGGTATAATGTTATTATCAACTAGATTCTGAAAATTGGACAATGAGACTACTGTAGAAAAAGTTGGGGATTTTACCGAGACAATGAACTTTTGAACTCTTGCAATGGCGGTGGATTATATGTCATGCTTTCGTTTTATTCTTCATCATACTTGATTGTGATATAGGGACAGACTAGTGTTTTTTCTTTAGCTTCGTTCCTTCTAAAGTTGCAGATTATCCAACCACTAATTCAGCAACATTTTTTTTAGCATGTAAACAATGAATATACAAGGGTATGAAAAACACCTTATAAGTATAATACAATTCTTAATGGCTATATTACATTTGAATCATATTAAGACAAGTAAATAATTTTAGAACATTTTATGAAGATATGTCGGTTTAGAACTGTATTCTATTATTATTGTACCATGCCATAGAATACTCCCAAATTATATCCGTTCTCTCAACTCTCCAAATGAACCTTACAAAAAATCACAAGAGATCGGGATGTAATTAGATGGATAATGACGAATCTAATTAGTTGGCCTAAGAGAACATCTAGATTTTACACTGCTTAAACCATGTACTCAACAACCTCAACCACTTGGGGGTTTAAATCCTAACATGTGGTTTCTTTAACAATACTAGTTATAATTAACTAAAGTTAATAACACACTAAACCTAATCCAAGAAGAGAAGAAAAGATAAGGGAAGATTAATCTAATAAAATTGAGGCTCATTTTTCCAATGAATGTGATTATAAGTTAGACGACTCTTCCATAAATTCAAACACCTACCAATTGCATCAAAGAAAAACACTTGAACATTGTTGAAACCTCCTCAACACCTAACCAAGAAAATGAAATGAGCCACTACCAGAATCAGCAGCCAAAAAAAAAAAAAAAAAAAAAAAAAAAAAAAAAAAAAAAAAAAAAGGAAAGAAGAAAGAATGACCACTTATTTGGACAGTTGATTAATAATGTTCGAATTCAAAGCATGTTATCCTATTAAGTACATTCATATTATGTAATCTGACTTTATCTACAAAAATGTGTCGTTTTTATAGGATCCCTTAATCATAGTAGTTCCTTCAAGTATGTTATGTAATTATATGTGGTGTAGGAATTGATTTTGGTTTTGAATTGAAAAAAGCTCCATGAGGCCAAGAAGCACTTCAACAACTTCGAGTCACTAAAGTTTCTTATGAATAATATAATATAATATAAACTCTTTTAAAATATGCATTTAAACTGAAATTTAGCTGGTCATGCATGTGTGAGTTCATTTTATATTGACCCCCATATCCCAAGGTATCTATCTAGTAGCATGGACCCATTTCAGAAGACCAAGAAGTAGGAGAAACAAGTATTATTTGTTATGTCATAAGCCGGGAGTTCATATTGAAATCCTATAGAAAGAAAATAAGAGAAAAGGTTTTAATTTCTCAAGATGGCGTTAGTTTCTAGAATCCAAACAAAAGAAGCAAAAAAGAACTGCGTAGCGGTTTGGGACATCGTGGTGAGATCCAATGTATTGCCTGGTGATATCCTCTCTAGTAAGGAGGGGAAAAAAAGGACGTTACAAAAATTCAGTTTGTCACTAGTGTCAAATGTCAACTTATTCCCTTGATATTTCAAATGCGCCAATGAGATCCTCTTGAACTTGATTAAAGTGGCAACGTTAGTCCGATCAACATATCATATTGGCGCGTGATTGCTCGTGAGGTTTTCCCTCCATTTTTCCATGGGAAACAAATGGAAGGACCAAAATTGTCAACTTCATGGACTGTATTGGCATATTTTAAAAGGCGGGGGGGGACAAGACGATACTAGTGACAAAGTTCATGGGGGGGTTTTATAGTTTGTCCAAAGCAGAAAACCCTGATATGAGCAACCGTAGAGATGGACCAAACAATTTTCACGTCAAAATCAATAATTATTTCTTCAATATATCAAAATTTGGATGAAGAGTGTAACTATACAATAATATGTTTTACATGTTGGTGTGTAGATCTTCTTAAAAATTCCAGGAAGCAAAATGTAACCGTCGAACTGTTGGGAAACACAAGAGGGTTTTTATCTTTCTAGCTTGCTTAGCAATGCTTCCATTTCTGGAAGCTCCTGTACAATTTGTTGCCAATCCGGCATTCCCTGCAAACAGGAACGGATTTCATTACTAATGATTCCATCATACGGTTAAAAAAATAACAAAAGAAAAACCCAAAAAATATGTTTATAGTTCGACTATCTCTGTACTTTTCATAGAACACCAGATTGTTAATGCTTTGGTTATTCCTATAACTCTTAACTTGTAACATGCCCACGGTTTCACTCCCACTGGACTAGAGAAGTCGTCAATTCCATGTTCTACAGCAATTTGTGAGGAGCAACAAAGTGTTCTAGCGTATGGAATTACCTTCCCTGATCTTCGTACCCGCCCATCTAACCGCAGTATTATGTAGACATCCTCACCAGGAGTGACTCCTTCGGATTTCTGTTGATCCTTTATCCACCTAAAAAAGATAAAGGGATACTAGAATCGTTAGCTAGAAGCATGCATCAACTTTCAGTTTGTAAAAGTTTGTAGTTCTGATATGGATGCAATACAACAGGCTAACACTTTTAAAAGTTTTTTAAAAGTGAAAATATACCAACTTCTGTATAGTAAAAATCAAATATGATGCAAAATGAAAGTCAGTAACCCTATCAGATTGCAATGCTTCTTTCACAGCTACAAATACACCATCGCACCTTTCAGTCATCACAAATATGAAACGGATTAAACGTAAGAAGCAAATGCAAATATGATATGGGTAGGTTAGTTTCACCTTTCCCATTCTGCTGGTGATACAACCTCAGCCTTGAATCGAATTTCAGCTTTCAGCTTCGATTTGGCAGTTATAGACTGAGCCCGTTTCGCAAACTCTTCCTGTACAAGACAGTGTCAGTGAGGAAGAAAACCTTCTATCGTAAATAATATTAGTATTATCATCTAGTTCTGCTAAAATATATTTGTTCTTGCTCCTTGTTTTGTATGGACAGACACAAGCACAAACATATAACGTTAATGGATGCCTTAAAATCCTTACCCCAATGGAGGGAAGAGAAGCTGCTGCCTTTTGAGGTGCCCCAAAGCCTTTCTTCTCTATTTGTGGCTCCTTACCTTCACACCAAATGACGGGAACTAAAAGAACACCGCGTCTAAGGAGTTCAGTCCGGAACCTCTCTGCCTTCTTCATTGCTAAAGAAACAGTCTCCTTTTTCCCTGCTAAAATAACCTAAATCCAAGCTTGATTGAAGTATTTACAGAGGATTGCAGAATTGGATATGAATCAAAAATAAACATAAACCAAAGTTGGTACTAACAGGCCTAACAGTGTCCCGTAGCTGGACGAGTTCAACAACCCGATTAGTGGAAAGGCGCAAAGGCAACCTTGATAGAGTTTCATCACGAGTTATTTGGGCAAGTTGTTCCTCTTCTTTCTTGTTATCCCATAGAAATAAAGCCACTAGAACAATAATACCTACAGATTGCTGATTCAAAAGCTTAGTCATGTTGAGAAGCAAGTTATGGAAGATGTATTCAACAAACACACTCAACACAGTGACTCCGAATGGAAATGACATCTCATAGGAAACTCATCAAAGTATGGTTATAAGCAAATATTTTTGCACGAATATGAATGCTTAATACTTACCTCCAACATTAATGGCAACGTTTCCTGCAGTTTCCCAGAGATCAGGAGCACCATCACTGCCTTGTATTGCACGAAATAGTCTAGGGATAGTGAAAAACAGTGAAATTCCTGCAGCCACTGAGAATGCCACAGAAAAGAATCTCCTAACTCCACGAAATGGAGCTTGGACTTCACTAATGAGTTTAAGATCTCTTCGAAAACTGGAGCCTATATCTTCCCCACCGAGTATAGCCTGTGGCATATGACATAAACTTTCTAAGTATAGTTCCTAAAATAGACAAGGATTCAACATGATCAAATCACTTCCATGTTCCAAAACTTCAAAACATACAGGTAGATAAACTTTTCACTGTAGAGACAAGTATCCTCGAAAATCACCTTTTTCATCTACAAAGACGTGCAACATAACAATAGACATTAAGCGATAAAGTTTAGCCACAAACCTCTTCTTGCAACTCCTTGAATTCAGGCGAAGCTCTAATAGAGGCCAAGTCGGGGTCATTCAGAATTGTACCAAATTTGAGGTTGTAATCTCTCAAGGCAGTACGAAGACATTCAGCAGCTTTCTTTCCTTCCCCTCTACCTCAAAATGGGGAAAGGAGAAAAACAACAAACGTTGATTCATCAACATAGAAAGGACTTCTCGAAAGTGAATCTAACATTTGCATTCCAAATAAAACAATCAAGGAGTAAGACAAGTCTATAAACCAAGGTCTCACAAGTAGCACCCTTTGGTAAACGTAAACAGACATTGAAAGACTTGATCAGGTTTAATATCATTCCACATAAGCATAGCCTTGCTTTTGTTGGATGAATCTTAGTTCGAATTCCAGACCCGATATGTTCTGTGGTTATTCAGAAAGCAATCCCTTGCCAAGGAAGCACTAAATTGAATAGACTGAAAGATATAGTTTTGTTTTATGAACTTATATGAATCACCCTAATTCTCATTTCGGTGGAAGACACCCTCTAAGGCTCTAAGTCCATGTTCGATATGGTTGCTGATTTCTAAAAAGAGGGAAACTGTCAACTAAAAGGAAATGTAAAAGATGATTTTAGAAAGGAAAAAAAAAAGATGAGATAGATACCTGTATGCATAACAACAAGCTTTGTTATACAGAGCAGCTTGAGCCTCCATTGGGTTAGGGTCTAAGTTAAGCGCTGTTTCAAACTGTACTAATGCATCTTTAACCTGAAGGAAGGGCAAGGCATCAAATTTATTTCATATGAAAACATATACACACACAAAATTAGGATTATTTCGAATGACCCATGCTACACAGGAGATAAGGAAAGGGAATGCTAATCCTTCCACCCTTAGTATTGATTCCCAATTAAAGAAAATAAAAGACAAATTCATTTATGTACCATTTGAAAAGTTCACATGTTATAAGCTAGTGATTATTTAATTATGTAAAAAGAAATTTTAGTAATTACATTGATAAGATTCAGAATCAATCCCATTCCCCATTCTTATTTCTATACCTTCTTTTTCAGTCCCATTACCTTTCTTTCCATTACCGTCCTGAGGGAAATATTACAGTACGAATTATGAAGGTATCATCTAAAAATCAGATGGCGACAACATCAAACTATATTCTCAACAATCCATCAAAGAAAAAAAAAAAATCAAGCTCTTAAGAGTAGCCAGAAAGTTCCACTAACGCAAAGTCTCAAAAGTTCCACTAGCGCAAAGTCTCAAACTTTTCAACAATGACATATACAAAAAATCTCGAACCATAATACAACAAAACAAAAAACTATAATAGAGCCCAAAAATTGGAAGAAAATTTTGAAAAATACCCGTCCTTTGGAGAAAAGCTGGAGACCCAAGTTGACACAAGACTCGGCAGTCTCTGTCTTGGCTTCAGGAGACTGAGAAGTAGAAGAAGAGCAAGAGATAAACAAGAGACGGGACTTGTTCTTTTGGATTTTGAAGTGGGTAATTGTGGAAGAAGTTCTTATGGGAAGCCATGGAAGTGTTCTTGTTTTTGAGGTTGTGAAGCAGAGAAATTGCTGGTTCAGAGCCAGAGCAGCCACAGCCATGGAGAGCTCGGGAGAGACAGATAGAAAATTCACAGACGCTAACACCATCAACGATCTATCCAAACGGTCTACAAGTTGTGGGAAAGCCACGTGCCACTTGCCATCACGATTCATGGCTCTCATTTCGAGAGATCTTCACCGTTCACTGTGTTGAAAATTCTGTAGTCCGAGGTGCGGACGTCTCAGATTTCTTGCATTTTGTCCGCTATGTATTGACTAACGCAAAACTCTTTTTGTCCCGACGTGAATTTATCCCTGGACCTCATGTGGTGGGACCTCCAAATAAATAGAGGTCCCGTTTATTTCGCTGATTTGAATTTAGAATTCAAGTTTTATTACAGTAAAAAGTTCTCAGAAACAGTCACATCTAACTTTTTTGCTACAGTAAAAAGCTCTCATACAAAATCACATCTCAACTCTAATTATAAATTCGAATCGGTGAAGTGAACGGGCCTGAGTTGCTCATTGGCAACGCATAATCCACATAGTCAAACGATTTCTTTTTACTAGTTTCTCTTTTTTTTTTTTTTTTTTTTGGGAAATAGTTTTGCTTGCTTATGGAGTTTTACCCGAATTATTTTAATGAAGCACACTTATTTGATAATAGAAACTAATTTCCATCAAAATAATAAATTCACGTGACACATACATGCTTTTTGTTAAGGGGTACTTTTTTAGGGGGGGAAATCCCTCATGTTGCTTGCCTATTGACGCTAGAGCTCTAGTACTCCCTGCTTGATGTTGCTTGCCAAGGACCCGTGCTCATACGACTTGTCGTTTGTTTATCTATGTTTGTGTCGTTTTTGGCATGTTGCATGCCACTGTCCTTTAATTCCTTTTATTAATTGTCATCACTATTTCTTCCGTAGTCTTAGACCGTATCTTGACGTAAATGCTAATATCAATTGTATATTTGATATTAAAAAGTGTGATGATAATATATTTAATATGTTATTTTTATTTGTACTCTAATATATAATGTTATTACATGTTATATTTCCATTTCGATATCAGTATTATATTTTTACTCTGAGCATTCTCTGGTTTTTGCTCCAAACCAAATCTAGGGGAATTTGGACGTGGCAACCTTTCTCCGTCCGATTTAGTCGGAGAAACAATTTTACTTGGCTGCTAGGCCACCTATGTTATAACATGAGGTCAAACCAAATAAAACAAGAAAAATAAGAATATTATAAATTTGCCCCTTGATTCACTCGTCTCCTCAATCGGCTCAAGCTCTTTTTTCCTTCCAGCTTTTCACTTTTCACACTCTCCATTGCTGATATACTGCTAAAGCTAAAAAAATCAGCAATTCCATAATTTCTGAAATTGAGTGCAAGATGTTTCAAGCTCATTTATTCATCGAAGTAATCCAATAATAGTTTTCTTTAAATGAGGATTGCCCATTGAAAATAGTTGCATCCATCATCTGCTGCTGATTTTCCAAAAGTTCAACTTAAAAAAATCCAACTTAGAACTCATACTTGAAAAACGCCTCCTTGAATCAGGAACTTTTACTATGCTGGGAGAAGAATTCTGAACATGATTACATGCTAACTTGATACGATTACTTGCAAACTTGAATTGTGGAATTGTAAAAAGAAGACCGTGTAGTATCTTAAACTATTTATGGTTACTTGTGAACTTAGAACACTTTAAAATGGAATGAGGAATGATAAACTTGTGAATTGACATTGGTACTATGAATGTGACTCTGGACACCATAAAACCCGATCCCGAGGTTATTCGATTTGATCATTAAACCACAACCAAATACCTAAGTTGCAAATAGCTTCACTTACAAACCTTAGTCCTCTTTTATTTTATTTTTTGTTTTCCTTATAGTACCCTTAATTGCGACCACTTGCATGTGTGTCATATGACTCATTATGATGTAATCGTCATAAGATCTGTAATAAATGCTAAATTCACAATAAAATCGGGTCTTTAGTGCCTAACAAAAATATTACTGGGGGACAAAGAGCTTGGTGAACAAAAGTTTTGGTGGATCAGTGTCAATTGGTCAAAATTACATAGTCCTTAGCACCTAATAAAATAAGGGAGCAAAAGTGCTGGGTAAATAAAAATTCAGAGATATCAATATTGCCAATTATTCTTTTAATCGAAAGTACTATAATGAGAGCATATAGCCATTCTCTTTTTTGAAAAAAGAAAATGTGATTTTTGTGGAAGAATGGGGAAAAAAAGACGAACTATAATGATATGGCGTTTTGAATGCACATAAAACAACAGACAAAAGTTTTTGAATTTTCGCTAATATATTATGTAATTAGAGGTTAAAAGCGAGAAACATCGTCAAATTAACAAGATGTTGGTAGTTGGTATTGTAATATATATATGATGTGTGCAAGGTATCATATATAGTCTCTAATGAAACTGTGCATATAAAGATTATATGCACAGAAGTCTGAAACTAGTTTATTCTTCTTTGCAAACAATAGAAAGAATAAAAAGAAAAAAGAGGAAAAAAGTGCTTAATTTGGATATAGCATTAATGGCATGAGATTATGTGTGGATTACATTATAGTATATCTCTTCAAAATTTACCCGCTTTGTCAGGTTTAGTCAATATATTAGGTCCAAGTACGTACAACCAAACTTTATTTGTTTATAAACAAGCCCGTGTATCTCGAAATTTATTGATTTTGGGTAATCTTTTCTTAGCTCTTTGGCCAAGTTGTGATTTTACAGATCATTAGTAGAGATTTAAATGAGTTAGACATTAACAAGACAAGACAGAAAATACACCTCTTTAAATGGAAAAAAAGATATGCTATAAATAGCCAGCAGTTTATGCGAATATTTATAATGAAAAAGGAGTTTCTTTAAACCATTAAAATTAAGAGAACAAAAGTCTTTGGATTCCTGCTAGCTAGAAACTTGCTTCACTTTGACGCTGATTAGATGTAACGTCGAAAGCGTATGTTCCAAATTTCCAACACATAAAACAGGAACAAGAAATACTAATCATCATAGTATTAAAAAACTAATTTTTATAATAAAAAGAATCAAAACAATATATATGATGGCTCATGGCGCATGCTTTCTATTGTTGCCTTCTAGTTTAAGTAACTACACAAAATCATTTTAACGAAATTTCAAATGAGCCAAATTAGCAAATTAATACTCTGGCAAAAGCGTGAAAGAGAAAGGATTTTAATGACATAGAACAATGCCAAGAAAGATGAAGTGAAAGCCACTGAAGTAGTTGCATAAGAAAGAATGCATATACATGATATGTGTGTGTGTGTGTGTATGCATATGTCTCGCTGCATATTGGTCACAAATCGACGTCGGTCGACAAAAGAAATAGCCAAAGTGAGAGCACCCTAAAACAAGAAATAGAATATTGCCTCTATATATGGCTACATTACTATATATTCCCTATGCTTATAGACAAACAGTACAGATCGCCACGTCCAGATTTCCAATATATAATACACACACATATATGTTTGCTATGTACATCTGCTTTGGCTCATTTTTCTTGTGTTCAAAAGGGTTTGCCTATATGTCTTTCTTGAGAGTTATAGTGCTTGCACGGAAGCACTATGAATATAATTAAAGTCTCTTTTCCTCTTTGGTCGTTTTGTCTCGCTTCAAAAGAAATACCATGTGAATGTTTCACCAGACATTGATCAGAACAGGATAAGGTAAAAGTTCAAATCTAGATGGATGTATTTTCTTTCAATAACCCATATTTTTCCTCGATCATTCGATGTTTTTCACTTTTGATAAATTAATTTCAAGATGATTCCCACTTCGGAAAAGAGATAATGTATGCAATATATAATGGCATGTATATATATATATATATATATATATATGAGTTACTAATTACAAAACTATACCTTTTAACATTTTTTTTTACAATTTATCCATCTATTTTTGGAAACTACAAATGTATGTTTTGAATTTGAAAAATTTAATTCATCTACGTACGCTTTATGCATGAACAAAATAAGAAAAGAAGATAAAAATGTCTCTAAATATATAGTTTATACTTTATGGTAAACATTTAAAAAAACAACCATATGAAACATAATTTTTTTTTTTTTAAAAAGATCTAGGTTTTTATGTTTAATCTTTAGAAAATTTTCTCAAGAAAAAAATGATTCTAAAAAATTAATTCATTATAAGGGTATTTTTGTCTTTTACTTTTATCCACAAAGTGAGCCAGAATGAAATTTAAACAAGTTTTTCAAATTTAGGCATGATAAAAAAAAATAAAAATAAAGGGATAAATTGTGAAAAAAAGCTAAAACTAAGAGATATATATGTATGGAACTACCCTTATATATATTAGATTGGTAGTTTGTAATATTATGTTTCCTTTTAATATTATATTGTTACAAGAAAAGCTTAGCATATTAACATATATGCATGCACATTCTTAAAAGAAATATATATATATATATATATATATATATATATATATATATACATACACT